AAGTCAAAGAAGAAGGGAGTGGTTTGCAAATTGGATTTGGAGAAGGCTTATGACTTGGTTGATTGGTCTTTCTTGATTGAGGTGTTGAGGAGTTTTGGTTTTGGAGACAGGTGGTGTAAGTGGATTTGGGGYTGTGTTAGGACTTGTCATTATTCTATCCTGGTGAATGAGATTGTGGTTGACTTTTTCCTGCGTTGAGAGGTCTAAGACAAGGAGATCCTCTTTGCCCTTTTCTTTTCACCCTGATTGTTGATGTGCTTGGGAGATTGATCCATAGAGCAGACTCGAGGAATTTGATAAGAGGGTGGAGAGTAGGAAGGGAGGAGGTTCCCTTAACACTTCTACAGTTTGCAGGTGATACTATCCTATTCTATAAAAGAGGGAACTTCAATAGGATCCGGAATCTAAAGTTGACAATACAACTCTTTGAGCAGATATCTAACCTCAAGGTGAACTTTGATAAGAGTTGTGTGGCGGGAGTGAATGTGAATGAAAAAGGGACCTAAGGGAATTTGCAGGTGAGCTAAGTTGTGCAATACACTCTTGGGCCTCCCTTTAGGAGATAATCCTAAGAGTGTTAGCTTTTGGGCTCCAGTAGTGGAGAGGTTTGAGAAGAGGTTGGCGGTCTAGAAGAGAAATTATCTTTCTTTAGGTGGGAGAGTCGCTCTCATTAGGTCTACCCTATCTAACCTACCTGTCCACTATCTGTCAGTGTTTAAGATCCCCTCAAAGGTTTCCAATCTTTTGGAAAAATTAATAAGAAACTTTCTGTGGGAGCCTGAAGAGGAGAATAGAGATCATAGGGTGAGTTGGGAGGTGGTCACTAGGTGTAAAAAACTAGGAGGCCTTGGGATTGGTAATTTCAAGAAAAGGAATATGGCTCTACTAGGGAAGTGGTTGTGGAGGTTTTCATTGGAAAGGGATAAATTGTGGACTAAGATTGTGGCTAGCATTCATGGGCTGGAAGACAATGGCTAGGATCCTGGAATCTTTGCAAGGGCTTCAGCTGCTTCTCCTTGGAAATCCATTCACAATCTGCTTCCAATTTTCTCCTCTTGGATCAGGTATGATCTAAACTCTGGTGATCAAATAAAATTCTAGGAACAACTTTGGGTCAGGGATTCTCCTCTGAAGGACCAGTTTCCTTCCTCGTATGCTCTATTAGACTTGAAAAATGAACCCATATCTTCTTTCTTGGTCCCTTCAGTCTCCACTTCTGGCTTTGGATGGAACCTAGGCCTACGTATGGCAATTAGGGATACAGACATGGATAGCTTGGTAACTTTGCTAGCCTCCCTTGAGATTGTCTTCCTAAACCCTGCTAAGAAAGACACCAGATTTTGGACCCCTTCTAGCTCTGGTACCTTTTCTTGTGCTTCATTCTTTGAAACCTTAACTCAGCCTCCTATCCCCTTTGGGTTGTCCTTTCCGGTTAAGGAAATTTGGAGCATGCCTATTCCTCCTCGGGTTGGTTTTTATTGTTGGGAAATTTTCCTGGAAAGAATAAACACTTTAGACTTACTTCAGAAAAAGAGACCCAACTATTGTCTACTTCCTAATAGATGTGCTCTTTGTAAAGCTTATAGGGAATCTGGCTACCACCTCATGGTCTCTTGTAAAGCTACTAAAATTGTTTGGGAGTGGGTTTTCTCCCGTTTTGGGTGTTCTTGGTATCCTCCGGAGACTGTCCAAGGTTTGTTTTCTCCTTTTTTCAGTTGGCCTAGGAAGCGAGGGAAGACTGTGTGGAGGTGTATTGGGGCAGCAGTATGCTGGTCATTGTGGGAAGAAAGAAACTCACGCATTTTTTCCGACAAGGAAAGAGCATTGGAATAATTGTTAGATTGAATCCTTTTAAGGGTTGTCCACTGGCTAAAATCTATGGAGTTGTTTTCAAATTTTCCTATGGATGACTTGCTAAGAAACTGGAAAGAAATTGCTTCCAATGCTAGACGCAAGAGAACTCTTTATCCATTTTGGTCCCCTCCCCCCTCGAGCTTTATAAAGCTGAATTTTGATGGAAGCAGTGTAAGGAATCCAGGGCCCTCTGGGATTGGAGGAGTCTTCAAGAATGAGGAAGGGATTGTTATTGCTTTATTCTCTGGCCCTATTGGAGAAGGTGACTCTCTTAGGGCTGAGATCCTTGCAACGCTTGAAAAAATTCGAAGAGCAAAGGAATTAAATATCAGTTGTTTGATCCTGGAAGGTGATTCGAAGGTGGTGGTTAGTTGGTTGAAGACAGAGGACAGTGATTTGTGGAACTTTAACAATGAAAAAAAACAGTTCTTATGGCTGGGTAGGGACATTGAGATTCAGTACAGCTGGGAGAAGAGGAGTGCCAACTCATTTGCGAATAAGTTGGCCAAGCAAGGAGTGAATAGGGAGTCTGTTTTTTGGGCTAGTTTTTAATCTTTTCTCTTTGCACTCCCTTTGTTTTCTGTTTTTGGGGAGCTAAGATATTTTATCTCCCCTTTTATATCCATATTCCCTCTTTTCCTTTTAATTTAATGAAGCTGGTGTTATTGATAAAAAAAAAAATAGTAGCTTTTTCAGTAAATAAGAAAAAAATAGAGACATGGCCAAATGCATTTAGCAAAATAATACTCACTATTAAATGAAGATGACTTACCTGCAGCAATTGTTGCATCATGAACCACTTTGTCAATTTCATCAGTTGTTATACCAGGCCGAATAGCACGTGCAGCTGCATCTAAAACTTCCCGAGCAATCTGAAAATAATAATTGTAAAAAAAGGTAGGGGGTGAGAGAATCATGACCAACTACATGCATCTTATTGGATCAGTACAGGAGCACAAGAATATTTATGGGATCAATAATAGAATTATATAAACTCTACTAATGCAAAAGAGTAGATAAGTAGAAACATCTAACTTCCCTAGGATGAGCAATTCAAGCTCACAAAGCCTCACATAGGAGAAAACCAAGAAATGAAGCAGATGACCAGGTGTACCCAATACAACTCAGTCAGCCCTCTCTGCTGATCTACACCCTTCCCCAGGCAAAAACTATCCATCAAACAAATGTGTCAGTCACCCAGAAGCTCTGCCTTAGCTGGTCCAGTAGTCATTATGAATTATACCCTGAAGCCTTCATTTCTAGCCACAGTCTTCTGACCTCACCAAGCTTCAATATGCTAATTGGGGGAAAAATCTACTTTGCGATCCCTGAAAGTTTGATGGCCCCAGGTTTCCGAAGGAAAACCTATCAAAATTCAGCTTTACCACTACTTGGGAGAAGGTATTCAACTCTAATATAATACACCAACATCTAGATGATCTCAACACATGAGACCATCCTCAAATTTGATGTGAACCATGAAGAGCAAAAGAAGAAAAACAGAGAAAGAGGACCGGATCAGATAAGTGACTAGCAAAATTTATGGACAAATTACCGATGAATAAAAACAGTTTGTGGACAAATTAGATTTTCCTCATGAAACACATTATAATTCCCACAAGACTTTTATTTCAGCAACCACAAGAAGTTGAGAACCACAAGCATGCCGAATACAAGGCAAGCCACCCAACCCATATTACAATTGTGCCCAATACATAAACTGTCTTTGAACATCTTGCTTAGCTAAATTGTCTGGCAAGCTGTTTGCAGATCTTCTAACCCAATATACTTGGATGTTCATGTCTTTTGACAGCCACAGAAATATTCAGTAATCATTCCTTAGTTGCCAAGTCACCCCCCTCTCCTTTTTCCAGCCATCCCTTCGAATCCCCTTCAATAATCAATCTGTAAATTCCCACAAGCCTGATAAATCACTAGAAAGTGTCAAGACAAGGAGAAAGATGGTTTTGGTTCAAAGGAAGTCCAGCAAAGCACAGAATGATAGAATATTTCTTAACTTTTTAGAACTTATTTGATATTTCTTGGATTTCCTATTATAGGGGTATTTTCTTGGTAGTCCTTCATTCCAAATCCGCATAGAGAATTTCATAGGCAAAAACCATTCTTAGACCTACTTTTTTTGTTTTAACAAATTAATGTTAGCAAAGAAACTGATTGGTTGCCAAACTTAGCATGTTAAACTTTTTGGATAAACTCTCCTAAAGCTGCAACTTATTTCCTTGAGTCATTCCTCTATGCTCTCAGTCCACCTAGCTCCCATAGCACCTATCTGTCCTACATCACAATGTGCAACTCTAACTAGGGTGGTAATCTGGCCAGATTAGGACCATATTCAGTCATATCCAAATCTGATCCAATTATTCACAACTTGAATCCAATCTGATCAGATCTAGGGGCCCCAGATTGAAGTTAAATGCTATCAAATTTCATCTATCCAAGCCTACTTCATCATTTTTAAAATAAAGAAACTAATTCAAATGTTAAAGGGTCAACCACTCTTAATTCATACATATAAAATAAATCTTGAATTGTCTTATGGTCATAAATCTTGAATTGTATTTTGGTGCTCATTAGCATCATCATCTACAGCCTAGTCCCAGCTATCCAGGGTCAGCTACATGGATCCTGTTTCACCATTCTGCTTTATTTAGTTCCATGAGCACAAAAAGACAATTAAAGATCCATGACCCTAAGAGTTTGGCAAACGTTTTAATGCCTGATGCCAACCTGGTACAACCCTCCACTTTTGTCCAGGCTTGGGACCAATGGTGTAAGAATAGCTCATACTGGTGTAGTTAAAATCATTGCTTACTACTTCAACCCATATCCTTCTAGTCCCTTCAACTTGCAAGTTGCAAGAGATCGCTCCTTACAGAGTTACGAGTGTTGTAGACGGTCTTCAATGTACAAGACCAAACCATCTTAGACTATGTTTGGGAGTGCTTGTTTTTAAGTGCTTATAAGCACTTATTTTGGGATAAGTCTGTCAGGATCACACAAATAAGCAGCATTTGGTTAATAAGCCCAAATAAGTGCCTATTCCTGAAAATAAGTACTTATTCAAGAAGCTCAAATTTATACCACCCCTGTTTTTTATGAATAATTTACACGACCCCTTGTTTGAAATAAGTGCTTTTTCACCAAACACTCATGAATGCTTATTAGGATGAGCACTTTTTTTGAAGAGTAAAAATAAAATTTTAATAAAACAAAAACAAATACAAGCTGTTCAGGTGTCAAGATAACACCCTAAATCAAAAGGCAAACATTTACATTACAAGTTTGAATCTTTTGAGTTCATTACCAAAAACACTTATTGGAGCTACTGCTAAGTTCCTTCAAATGACTTCATTTCTGACCCTATTCTTTCTAGCTTTCCCATTATCCATTGCAGAATACACATTTCTGCCACTTTTTTTTGCGCATATTGTTTCTTGACTGCCCTTCACCATACTCTACAGTCTTACAACATAGCTGGCCATACAACTGTTTTATTTATTTATTTATATTTATTTATTTATTTATTTATTTATTTATTTTTGATAAATAACCATACAACTGTTTTATGGAACTTTCCTTTTAACCATATGGTATTTGCCTATCACATAAGACTCTGGATGTGTCCCTCCACGTTGCCCACAACTAATTATATGGACAACATCCTCCTAAATTTCTCCGTTGTTATGAATTAATCAACCAAGATAATGGAAGAGGTCGCATTGAATTATCTCTTAATCTTCAATACTAAATGTACCCTGATCTGCACTCCTATTATTATTAAATTTACAGGATTCATGTAGCCAACGAACCCCATATGATTGGGATAAGGATTAGATGATCATGATGATATATTCTGTTAAATCCTACTCTATAGACATATAAAATACCAAATTTATTAATTATAAACTTTATATAATCATATATACTAAAAATATATATAGATATGTAGGTGTGTGTGCCTATGGTTATATAATATGTATATTATAAAATTAAATCAGGCCAAATCTGTGTCCAATCCAATTAAGTTAACCACCAGAATCTGAAATAATCGGATCAAATGTCAGATCAGGTATCAGACTTTCGGACTCTGTTGACAGCCCTAACCCTAATGGTAATGAAGTGAATCAGTACATAATGACTTCTCCCTGACAGGTTATTTGTGCTCTGCAACAGGGAGGATGAGTCAGCTAGCCATTTGTTCCTGCACTGTAGTTTCAGCTCAACAGTGTGGAGCCACTTTTAAGGGCTATCAATCTGCATTGGTGTAGCCCCCTCTCAGCTAGGAACCTATTGCAAGATCTGGGGCATTTCGGGCTTGTCAAGGAAGAGGAAAGTCTGCTGGTCGGCAGTCCCACTGGCAGTACTGTGGGCCATATGGTCAAAAAGAAATTTGAGGATTTTCAAGCAGACTTCTTCACCAGAATCAGTAGTGATTAACAGGGCTATAGAGGATTTGAGGAGTTGGCTTTCTTTACATCCTGTATTTAAAAATGTTATATTTTCTTCTTCTTTTTTGTATATAGACTTTTTTTGGGGGCGTAAAGTTTCTTTTGGTACATTCTCTCATGTACAGCATCTTTTATCAATGAATTATACTTTACCTGTTCAAAAAAAAAAGGACTGGCAACCGATAATTAATCATTAATTATCGGTTGATCCAGTTTTTTCTATTTCCTTTAAATTATGTCAACCATAGAATCTTTTCTCAAATAAGTTTATTCCGGGATCATGGATCCCAGCAAAAGTCAGCATTCCTACAAGGATATTTCTCTTGACAAAATTCTTTAAGTTAGCTAAGTAGTAGGAGAAAAACTGTTCAAACAGTAAAGAGCCCTTTATAAAGTTCAATAGTAAAACAGGATTACTGCAGAGTGCAGCCAACCTTAAATATTTAGGAGTGACTAAGTGAGGGCAGTGCTTTATTGAGCATAGTTCTGCATACATACGTGCATGACATATGCAAATCTGTTGATACATCAGCTCCATCACAACTCAGACAAGAACTAATGGCATTTCTATCACCTATCTTAATATATGCTCTATGGCACATTCGAGGATTATGTCTAGTCACTTTGATGCAATAGCAATGGGAGGGGAAACTTTGCATATATGGCTACCTCTTGCTGTCTTGCAATCTGTTATATCCAGTGTTTAGACAACTGGATCGGACAGGTTGAACAATGACCCGGGAACTTGGCCGGTTCGGTCATACCCCAATAACCGCTTTGGTTAAAAACCAATGAAAACCAGCTGACCAGCCAGTTTAACTGGAAAACCGGTGAACCGGTCCCGGTTTCATGAAACTGCCTAGGTCCTTAACTAATAGAAAGTCTAAAATGTGCTTAACAAGATTTGAACCTATGACCTCTTATTTTCATATATTGCTTAATTACCATTAATCCAGACCTCTTATTTTCATGTATTGCTTAATTACCATTAATCCGCCTATTAACTTGTGTCAATTAATGACTCTTTAATGTACATATTACTTTATTACACATGTATTTAAAGAAAATGTAAATTAAGAGACTTGAACTCTAATCATTTGCTTTAAAAATAAAGGAACATGCCATCAATACACCATATTAAAGTATATTAGAAGTTGTAAAATGTAATATATATATATAATATTTATATGACCCCTAGTATATATATGTATATGCCACGCCATCACAGTTCAACCCTGCTTGAACCTCTGACCCATGAACCTCTCCCCTCTCCGGTTCTATGCCCGGTCCGGTTCTCAGAACATTGGTTATATCCTTTTTGAGTATACTGCTGGTAAGAAATAGTCATATTTCTGAAGATACAGAAGGGGTTGTGCACTTGCTCAATTCATGCTGTTCTTTCATGCAGCTGTTCCATGGTGGGGTTATTTTAATTGCTAACTAGAAATGTCATTGTTGTCTAGTTTATAAAGGTGTCTATAGTTTCTAGAGGAATAGGTCCAAATAACCTCTGCTCTAAACAGATCTTTTAAAATGCTCTCATATAGATGGACAGTGCCTGTATCCATATGCATTTGCAATTTACACTAGCAGAGGGGGAGGGGATGATTTGGCACATACCCTTGAAAAGATGAGAAACCCCCATTTCTAATGATAAAAGCTTATGCATGTGTATTCTTTGTCTTTTAAAACAAGTCCTCTTTGGCTTATAATGAGGAGTGTGCCCCTTTTATCAAAGATGTGTTATGCCCACAGCACCACCCAAAAAAGATAATTATACATTTTTAGTGGATAGTCAAGATGAGAAAAGAAGTTCTGAATGAAAGAAGTTCTATGCACCAAGAACTTACTCGACAAGTTTCTCTCATTCTCTCAATCTGCTCTGGAGTTTTGACCTTCAAAAAACCATGCCAACACAAAGAAAAGTTGTGTTTCTTCCAGAAAATGTCCAACTTCATCATATCCAAACATCTTATTAATCAGACTGAACTTACCTCCACAACATGCTGAAGATCACTATTGGGCTCAATTTTAGGGATTCCCTGCCAAAAGAAATAGGTAAACATATAGGAAGTTATAAGTAGAGGGAGAGAGAGAGAGAGAAGCAAAAAGCAAGCAACATAATATCGATTGCTTGCTTTCCAACATTAGCATCTATATATTCATGACTGAATACAACAATTCAAAAAGGCATAATTTAACATGATAATGCAACTGTATTGCTCTATATGTAGACTGTCAATGGGTTGGATCACAGAAGGATCAAAGATAGTTTTATCCTATCAAAAGTAGATTTAAGAGGAACAAACCCTAATGAATTGATTCTGTTAAGATGAGGCACAGGTTTGCAGAACAACGAAGAGGACGAGATAATATGAGGTCTAGAATCTTCAATAGCCAAGGATGTCAACTTAAAAGAAGACTCTTTGTAAAAAGAATGACATTTAGGTTTATATCAACTGAAATAATTACTTAAAATGATTAAGTAAAATATAAACCTGAAAAGAGAAGAACAAAAACAATACCACATACACCATAAAAGAAATAAATGAGTAATACATGGCCGAGGGCCACACCATCAAACCTATAAAATAGTCCCAGACGTGGAAAGGGATTGACAGATTAGGTTTAGGAAGCAAGGGCTAGAGTAGGGATTGATAGAGGTGGACCAGGGGCTAGGGCAGCAGTTTTTTAGTGCATCTGACAGGAGAGAAATGCAAAAACCTTCAAGCTTAAAAGAAGCTTTTAAGATTCAATTTTCCAGAAAATATGGGCAAATTTTTTTGTTGGCTTTCTGGGATATAAATTTCAGTTCTCTTTTTTATTATGATAATCTTTTTGTAAATAAGGCTCAGAGGGTACAGGGTTGCTTTGGCAGTGTGCCGTAAATCCCTGTGTACATCTTCTTGTTGTACATGTTTTCTACTTTAATGATATTTCACTTCTCAAAAAAAAAGGATTAACAGATTGAGCTAACAAGCCAATCAGATTCATTGACAGCCATAACATAAAATTCATGTCAAACAAACTTATCAACATGGTCAACAATCAGTGTCTTTAATCGAGGTGCCAACTAGCTGGTTAGAAAGGTCTCCTGCTGGTTATAGGGGGGACTTGGGATCAAATCCCATCTGCACCCCCCGTTGTGTAGCCCTTCAAAGGAAATCAAAAAAAAAAAAAAATTAGTATCTTACACAAACTTACATCAATTGCCCAGTCAGGCTTGTCAATGTGCTCAGGAACAATACGTCTGCTTGACATAGGATATGGCCTTAGTGCCCTGTGAATGAAAAAGATGCAACTTTAACTGTCAAAACACCATGAAAGGAGAATGTCTTCAGCTACAGTATCATAATCAAAGAAAGAAAAGGTCAGAGAGAAGTAGAATAAAATAGTCTCATTTGAATGTGTAACAAACAAGAAGCAGACCTAGATAAGCTGTTGAAGTCAAGTAGATTCTTGGGTCACATTACTAAGAAAGGGATCACCAAGAGCAAGATACATTTTCAGATCCAAATCACCTGTAACTACAATTCTACGATAGGCCATAGCTACAGAATCATATGAAAAGAAAATTGGTGACGAGAATATGTTGTTGGGCTGTGGCCAATAGTTTGTTCAAGAACCAAAACATCTAACTTTTCATCCGAGAGGAGAATGCGTTTCAGGGGTAAACAGGGATTCTGTAGTTTCTGATGGCCTGAGTTTTGGGTTTAGTCTGTACAGTTTCTCACTGTATGGAGACTTGGAGCCTTGTAGGAAAAAAGACAGAAATCCTCGAGAAATACCCTGTCCAGTCAAAATGAGGAAGTTTTGATGTTCGAGCCTGTCCTTTCTTTAAGCAATAAAGCCAGCCCTCATTAAGTGCAGATGAAATTTGCTCATCTGGAGTTCCTGTCCCTAGTGCAGACAATTTTGCTTTCAAGTGCACAGACTTATGAGAACTCCAAGACTCCTTGAAACAATCCTGAGTGCTGCCAAGTGACATGAAATCAGTAGAGGAGTAAAATTGGATCCTACATCCCAAATAAATTGAAGCCATCTTATATGAACCACCAAACACATACATACATGGGCACAAGAAAAAATGGAGAAAGAGAAAGAGATTTGTTCACACAATTTCCATATATGCATTCACAATCCCGTGACATAATCTATTCAACAAACAACAATGAATTGCTAGCATTGTGGCTGATAATAAATGGGTTAACCATCGCTTTGCATTGAATGTTACAAAGGTTTGGGTGCAGGTCTAGAGTGCTTTTAGTGTGTAAGAATTGGGAAAGTCTGACCCAATGTTTTATAATGCAGAGGCATGAGGCATAGTTCAGAACATAAGAGGCACAAGCCTTCCAAGCACAAGGAAGTGTAAGCCTCCTTACGAGATCTGTGATTCACAACCTCGACACAGTGTCTTCATCTTTCAGTGGCATATTGGCTATAATACACTCTTGAGTTTGTGAATTTTAGATGAAAACAACTCAAAAAGTGTCACTTTTTGGGATCAGTGATGACAGTCTCATCTGTTGTGTGCCTAGGGATATTAACCAGCTAATAGACATCTTGCCAATTCTGAGTTCAGAGAGATTATCCAGACTGAGGTTTTATTTTCTGGTGTCAATTTATCCTTCAACCTAACTTTTTCTCTCTTCCAGCCATTTTTGTGTATTTCAGCCTCTTCTAAGATAATCATTTGTTATGTACTTGAAAAAATCATTATTTGCGCACGATTAGATGAGGTCTGGACAATGACTACAATAACGGTAGTGACTATGACATCGTATCTCAAACCTACCATGTTCAAAATGCACCCTCTTCCACCTTTTTCCCCTACTAAGCTAAAAAATACCTTGATTTTTTGATCACTTTTATCAATAATAGAAATCCAAACACAGCGTGCATTTATACATAAATATTTATATGCCGTAAAAAGCATGCAGAATGCACACAGACGGAGGGTGTTAGCCAAAAAGGAAGAGGAGGCAAGAAACATGAGACACCCAGCTCTGAACATATTGTCTCGCTACAGAAATTTGTTCATCACAATTCAGCGACATAAAATTAGCCTCTAAATATGCATATTTAGTATATATGCATAATATATTTTCTTGCAATTTCCATGATTTCTGTGGAATCAATGCATTTTAATGTATTCAAAATTATAAGAATTTAAACAATGGCAAAAATGGTTCAATATAGATAATGCCAAAATTAGTTACAAACCAGAAAGCAGCACCTTCACGAGGAAGCTTCAACTCCACACACTTGGGACACCTGCATACATGAAAATTGTGAAAATGGCAAGGATATCAAAATTACAATATACTAACAAATAAAGACAAGCAAGTGGTGAAGCAGTGAGTCAACCTGGAACTTCATCCAGAAGTTTTTGAAAACATAAGGAGCAATCTAAATGACACTGGCATATCTAAAGTGATAGTATGCACCACATTGTAGTGCATACTTAAAAAAATAATGTCATAACTTATTCCAAGAAGCATATTGTGTATGCCATAAATTACTCCAAGAAGCATAGCTTTGGGATGAAATATTGAGAAAAAACTTAAACAAAGCATACAACATTATTATGGAATATTGTTCTCCAGAATATCAGGAAAGGCCTTCAGAGATCATATAGGAGATGTTGCTGCCTCAGTGCCTTGCTGGTAATATACTCAGGGCCAATTGGAGAGGGAGATTAGATTAAGTTGATGTGGGGTTGGATGCAAGCCCATTGGAGCTCCTTCATTTTAAGGTAGCTTGTGGCATTTAGAATAAACACGGCATTCAAAGGGGTTAAAAGATCAGTAAACACAATAGAGGAATTCGCTTGCAACATGCAACAGGAGCAGATTGAGATAGGCAATAGGTGACTTGTTTGCTTTTAAGGTTAATTAATTTATGTATTTATGATGAGAGTTATGTTGGATCTTCATTCGGTTTGCTATACATGTTCACACTGAGACTTTTCCATTTCAACAAAAAGTCACGAATGCTGTTACTGGAATACTTTAACCAATAGTACTAGAGTAAAATAATCTACATTTTACAAATAACCAGTTACATAAGGAATCCTTTTCCCTAGCTTTTATCTTTTAATGTATACAATAATCATGGCCATGAAACCTATCAAAAAAAGAAAAAAAAATATGGCTATGAAATAGTAGACCATAATCAGATTGAAGTAATAGAAACTGGCTTATGTGTAACTGTTATCTAGAGGTACAGATTTAGCAAGAAGTCAAGTACCAACTAACATATCAACATGCCCCTGTTTAGCCAGTCAGGAGCGCAAGAAAATATCCATATTTAATCCCCCCCCACTTATTAAGATATTTGCTGAAAACATATATCACGTAATCCTATATCAACATTTTGTTCGGTCGGTTGGTTAGCTGGTTGGCTGTTGCATTAACATTACAAAAACCTATATGGACTTCTCCATAACATGGGAGGCGTAATAGAAGTAAACCACAAAAAAAAAAAAATGATGTGGAAATCAGACAAAACGCAGTGCTACTCCAAGTTCGGAGAGCGAGCAAGGAATTACAATCCCATCTCCTAAGTTAATTCAGGTGGTGGAAGCTAACTATTCTTCCATTCTATTGTTGATCATAACAAAGGAAAAAATTGCAGCCGTTCAAGAGGCAAATAATTGCATACTGAAGATGAGCAGGCTTGCCACATCGAACACAAGATAATGTTGATTCAGCCGGCGCAGTTGAAACTCCGTCCATTGAATGAACCAATTCTTTATGCTTGTAAGAATGCAATACAAGAACTGCTTCACAAGAGGAGAAATAATAGTAGAGAAAAAAGATTAGCAACAGGAGAATGGATGAAATAAGGCATATTAGAACTTTTATTTCAGGGTTATTCAGTTAGTGATGATTGAACGTCCTACAAGAGCTTTTGAGATCCCTTAAAGTAATCAAGATAGACAGAAATCTAGCAGAATCTTTGTATTAAACCTCTGAAACTGTTAGGGCTCATAGCATTACCTGGTGATTTAAATGTTTGTTTTTCCGCGATAACGAGCTAGGGTTTCAGATAAAATGTCGAACCGGAACAGGGGAAGCTGGAAGCACCTCTTTATATAGGTATAAGCAACAAAGGAAATAAGCTACAGTGATGGTCAGATGGAGAGGCGGGACTGGCGGCATACGACTGCACGACTGCACAACCACGACCTTACCTAGCCAGAGCGGGAAATGATCGTATATAAGCGCAAAGGTTAATAGAGATAAAAACACTACGTAGCCAGGACCCACCTGTCACGGTCTGACACAGAAGGCTTGTTGCCTACCTTGTTCTTGACGCCGCACGGGTTTTTTCCGATGTAAAACTATTCGCGTGACTCACCAGCACCTATGATAACTGTTCCATTTGTTTGCGATACAAATGCGGAATCGAGGTATTTATGCATTTCGATTTGCGTTTGCGAGCGTTTGTTTGAAATATAAAAATGTAATGATTATCAAAGTAAAAATGCATTTTCTGACACTTTTGTACTCTAAAAATATAGTATTATTGTACCTATTTTTTAGATACAATTTTGTATTCATTTGATAATTAACTCTTTGATCAAAGTTGAGGCATTGGAGCATAATATAGTTGGAGCATTTAACGATGGACCCACACCTTTGTACTAATTTCAATCAAACAAGATGAATGCAAAAACAGTTTAAAATGTGAACCATGTTTGCATTCATAAACGGAAAAATGGGTAAATATGTAGTGTACATATTTGCGTTTGCATTCCCAATATACGACAGGGATGTACTGTGAGATGTTGTGGGGGGCTGATTTGCACTCCTGAGCGGGGCTTTTGCACTTATGGTAAGAGCGATAGCCTAGGCCCCAAGCTCAGCTTATCCTGGGTTTTAGGCCTAAAATCTAAGCCCGGGATTGGGTAGGCCAAGCTTAATTGAGCAAGGGGTGAGCAAAATTGAACTGAGCAAAAAAAAATTGACCAAAACCGAATTGAAAAATCGGTTAACCAAACTAGTCAATTCAGTTTCAGTTCGATGTTTTTAAAAAAACGAAGGTATCAGTCCAGTTTTGGTTAACTAATATAGAAAACCGACGGTTAACCAAATCGACCGGTATACATATATTTTTATATATTATGTATATTATATATATTTTTATATTATAAATTAATAAATATGCATTATATATAAATATATATATACATATATTTATTTATAGTATATGATATATTATTTATTATTTAAAATATAATATTTTATATATATTTATAATCCAAAGTGATCAACTAGTTAACCGGTCGGTTTCGATTCGGTTTCGGTTACCGATTTTCCAAAAACCGGTAGTACCGATTCAGTTACAAAAAAACCCCATGTTTTGGTTAACCGAACCGTGAGCACCCCTATTGGGCCTATGTTTTTTATATATAAAATAGGGCAAATTTTTTAAACTACCCCTAAGGTTTAGGAAATTGATTAATTCTACCCTACTGTTTCAATATTGTTTTAAAGTAGCCCCACTATTTCTAACAATTGACTAACTCTACCTTTACCATTAGCATTCGTTAATATTCTATCAAAACTCATATACATGTGATGTATACTTTTTTAAAACCCAATTTTACCCTTACCATCTTTTTCTTTTTAGTTTGACATAACATTACAGTTACCTTTTTTGGACATCAGCTGAAAGGTATTCTCCTTTTCTTCCTCTTATTTGAGTCTTATTGATTTTCTGGAAGTGTGTGTAATTGCCCTTTTGTCTCCCAATGGCATTAGAAATGATGGAGGTTCTTTCTATTAAGTTCAATGGTACAAACTATGCATTATGGAAGTTTAACTTTCAATTCCATGTTGAAGCTAAGGATCTTTAGGGATATTTGGATGGCTCTGTATCTAAACTTGACGACTCCAATGTTAAGGGACTAAATTAGTGGAAGATTGACAACACAAAAATTGTGTCATGGATTATAGGTTCAGTCGAAATTGATATTGCTATTTCCATGAGAAGGTACATGACAACCTATGACCAGTATCTCGAAAAAGCTTATCAGCAATCGAACACCTCTAGACAATATTAGATAGAGGTTGACATCTTCTCATATTATCAAGGGGATAAAAAGGTCCATGAATATTATGTCGGATTTATCAATCTTTGGACAAAATATGAGTTAGTTTACATGGAAAAGGATCCTTCTTACTGTTATGTGAAGCACATGAACGAACACTTTGACAAGAGAAAAATTATGCATTTCCTAATGCACCTAAGTACTGAGTTTGAAGTTGTCAGATCTAAAATCCTGAGTCGAAAAACATTTTTTGACTTAGATACTATCCTTGGAGAGATTTTGAGAGTATAAACCAGACTGACTACACAACTACATTGGATGGAAGGAAATATTCCAACATTGATGTTGTCTTCCTAGCAACTAAACCAAAAGGGAAGAAGGACTTCTCTAAAGTACAATGGTATGAATGTAAAGAGTATGGGCACGTTGTTTCCCATTGTAAGAAGAATAACACATGCACATATTGCAAATAGGTCGGCCATATTATTATTGAATGTCTTACCCGGCTTCAAAAAGGTAATGGGTCAAATCAGAAGAAAGAAAGCTACAAGGCCTATCAGACTGTTGTAGATGGTTCATATGCCTCTTCCTCTATTACTTCTATGGATGGCCAAAACTACACCTCTGGCTGCATGTATGAAGAACGGATTCGATGGCTCATTTCCTCGGTCATCTCTTCAGCCTTTTCTGCTATTGGTCTGTCTGGTAAATCACCAACCTATTGCCCTTCACCGAACCATCTCTAGTTTATTGACTTAGGAGCCTCTAACCATACGACAAAGGCCACTCTCGGTCAGCATCCCAAACCCCATCTTCCCAATAAACACATTATCACTGCAAATGGTGAAAAACTGGATATACTTGGTTGTGATGATTTGTATTTATCTACTTCTAAGTCATCTTCATTTCATTTATCCAAAACCTTATTTGTACCTAAACTTGCCACCATTAACAAAATGAGGTAGCAGAAAGGAATAATGGGTATATCTTGAGTGTAGTCAGAACACTTCTACGGGATTCCCATGTACCCTATTGGTTTTGGGTGGAGGCAGCCAGCACTACTGCGTATCTCGTAAATCGTCTTCCATCATCTGTTTTGAATAACTTTTATTCTTTTCAATCTCTCTTTCACAAACCCCCAGACCTATCCATGCTCAAGTTTTTTGGTTGTGTTTGTTTTGTCTACCTTCCACCCCATAAACGCATAAAATTAATTACACAAGCAACTTTGTGTGTCTTTATGGGGTACATTTCTAAATATAAAGGGTTCCTTTGCTATGATCCTTCTATTCGCCATATTAGAATCTCTCGTAATGTAGTTTTTCTTGAAAGTGTGTTTTTTTTTAACATATTGTAAAATTATTGGCTCCTTCCATTTCTTTGTTGCATAGTTTTGATTTTACAAGTACCTCAGATATTTCTTTGTCACATCCGCAACAACTTCAAACCTACTTCAGGAAGCAATAACCTTCTTCAGTCTCAATGCCCCCTCTACTCCGCCACCAATTGTTGATTCGGTCACTCCAGTTGCCTCAATAAGTGTACCTGACCTTCCCCTTGAACCTACTGCTCCCACTTTACGCCATTTCTCTAGAAATTCTCGCCCACCTGACTGTTATGGGTTTTCACCAAGCCATAATTCCATTTCTGCTATTTTATCTAGGGATGTTCACGGGTCGGTTGGGTTGGTTTGAGTCATTTTCTTTAACCGACCCGACCTAGTCGGTTTACTTATTGACTAAATTTAAACCAACTGACCCTAAAGCAAAACCGACCCAAACATAAAGGGTCGGTTTATCGGTTTACTCAGTTTTTATATATATTTTAAACTAAAATATATATTTCTAAATATTTATTTATATTTAAGTTTATTTCTTTTTAGTTTTTATAGAAAATCAAAATATATATTTAAATCAATTAGTTTATGCAAAACTGATTTTTTTGTCAATATATATTTAAATATATACAAAAATGAATTAAATATTGTACCATTGTATTATAGTTGTATTGGTTTTACGCTTTTAGTTTTTATCATAAATAACCATTTTTTTCAAAGTTCAAACAAAACACAAATAAAATATATCAACATTTAATATATATATGGTAGGGACTAATTAATAATTACTCAAACATATAGGATCGGTTTAGTTTGGTTTTGGTTTTCATACAAAACCGAATCGAGTCGTTGGTTTATTTTCTCATATAAACCGAAATCAATCGGTGGTTTAAAAAACTGACCAACTTGGGTTGGGTCAGGCCGGTTTGACATTTAATGTGAACACCCCTAGTTTTATCTACTATAGACATTCCCAAATCTTACAAACAGGCTGTAGTAGAACCACACTGAAAATATGCCATGGATTTTGAAATTCGAGCCCTTATTGAGAATGACACCTGGGACTTGGTCAAAGCTGCACCTGAGACATCTCTCATAGGAAGTTGATGGGTCTACTCTGTGAAACTAAAATCTGATGGAAGCCTAGACAAATACAACGCTAGGTTGGTTGCACAAGACTACAGAAAGGAATATGGGATAGACTATGAGGAGACTTTTGCTCTTGTAGCTAAGATGACCATTGTACGACTTCTGATGGTTGTATCTGTAGCCAAACAGTGGACAATCCATGAGATGGATGTCAATAATGCTTTTCTCCATGGGGAGTTGAAAGAGGCAGTCTATATGAAGCCCCTCTTGGATATTGTACAAACCCGCAACTTGTCGTCTGAAGGAGTCATTTTATGGCTTGAAGCAAGCTCCTAGGTCTTGGTTTGAGAAGTTCAAACCTGTCATCATTGATGCTGGCTTAATCCTGAGTTCTTCTAATTATTCTTTATTCATCTTAAGGCGGAAGCAGGGAATAACGATATTACTCCTCTATGTCGATGATATTCTCATTACAGGGGATGATACAAAAGGAATTGCTAGGCTATAACAGTTACTCGGTGAGTCCTTTAAGATGAAGGGCTTGGGGCCTTTAACATATTTCTTGGGACTTAAAGTGAGCAAAAACTCTTGAGGCTACTTTGTTAACCAACAAAAGTATGTGGCTGATCTCGTTAAACTGGCAAATCTTAGTGACTCTAAGATTGTGGATACCCACTATAATTGAATGTGGAACTCAACAAAGATGATGGTC